TTTGGACTTGGCACTCAGTTGAACTATCTTGGGAGAGCTTGGGCAAGAGTGCAGAGGACTTTAAGCATTGTCTAGAGCCCCAGACTGAGCCACAAAGCTGGATGGAGCTAATACTGTTTGGCTGTGGGAAAACTGCCCTGGCACGCTCCGCCCTCAAGGTCACAGAGCAAGGATTGGGCAGGAGACCTTGGGGGAGTAATCTAGTGACTGAGCAGCCTAAAGGCGGGGACTGAGATGCCTTACAGCCTTGGCCCTCAGGGGCATAGATAGTGAGATTGGTTTTGGCACACTGGGTAAGTAGACAGCCACTTCAGGAATTATCCCAGCCACAAGTGCTCTGCAAAGCTTCTGCTGAGCCAAGGTTAACACTTTAAAGTGCCTTTTAAGCAGGCTGAGGAGAGATTTAGGCTCTCCACCCTGTGGGGTTTGAGAAATCGGCAGAGGCCTCCAGTCTTCATCTTGTATAGCTGTATCAGCATTGTGATTAACATCTTATACCCCAGAAGATCACCTGTTGCCCAGTTTTTAGCAAGAAATATTTACTACTTTGTTTGGGGGGTTGTTTGGGGGGGGGGTTGTATTGCAACATTTTCCCTCTAGATTTTCTTTTTTTTTTTCTATCTTTTCTTTCTTCATTTTCCTAGTTCAAACATAATTTTCCATTGTTGCCTTCTGTAACAATTAGAACTTCATTTCTGCTAGTGTTTCTACCCCTATTATTTGGTTTTTCCCCCAATTTAATCTCATGAAGTTTTCTGTTTGCTTGTTTTGGTTTTATTTATAGCATTTTTGTCTTTCCTCTCTACTTGGTGGAGGTACTGTGCCTGAACAGGCTAGCAAAGAGCTGCTGATCTCAAGGGAACCACCCAACCTAAACACCCGCCAGAGGTTGGGGGTTTTTAAGGTTGGGTCAAAGTACCCTACTGTACTCCTTTATTGCTCCTGTTTCCCTTTCTGTTCCTTTTTGTCAATATTCTCTTTTATTCACACCCTCTCCTTTATCTTTTTTCTTTTTCTTTTTTCCCTTCTTGTTCTTCAGTCTTCTCATCCGTCTGGTCCTGTACCAAAAGGACTCATTGAAACCCTAGTCCAGAGGCACAGTAACTTAAAGAGCAAGAGGAAGTGAAAGGAAAATTAGGGCACTCATGAGGAAGAATCAGCAGAAAAATCCTGGCAACACAAAAAAACCAGTCCAGAGCAATCCCTCCAAGAGACCGTGAGGTAGCTACTGCAGATGATTCCACCTATAAAGAAACATTAGAAATGACAGAAAGGGGATTTAGAATACAGATGATGAAAACAATGAAGGAAATGATGGAAACAATGAAGGAAACTGCTGACAAAGTGGAAAATAACCAAAAGGAAATCCAAAAACAGAATCAAATAAGAGATGAACAACATGAAGAATATAGAAAGGCTATATCAGAGCTGAAAGAAATGAAGCAGTCAATTAGGGAACCTAAAGATGCAATAGAAAGTATCAACAACAGATTAGACTGCAGAAGAAAGAATCTCAGAGGTGGAGACAAAGCTCTTGAGATAACTCAGATAGTTAAAGAGGCAGAAAAGAAGAGAGAAAGCAGAATGTTCACAGAATTATGGGACTTTAGGAAGCATTCAAACATACGAGTTCTAAGTATCCTAGAAGGGGAAGAAGAATGCCCCAGGGGAATGGAAGCCATACTAGAGAAAGAATATTATAAATGAAAATTTCCCAAATATCACCAAAGTTTCTGATACACTCCTTTTAGAAGGATGTTGGACCCCCAGGTTGCCTCAACTCTAATCAAGCTTCTCCAAGATACACTGTGATGAACCTGTCCAAGTCAAGACAAAAGAAAAGATTCTTCAAGCTGCTAGGAGTAAAGGACAGAACCTAACTACCACAATGATGCAAAAGATAAAACTAAACAATGGGCTCTCACAAAATAAGATGACCAGAACACTACCACACTTAGCAATTATCTCAATAAATGTTAATGGCTTGAATTCCCCACTGAAGAGGCACAGGTTGGCTGATTGGATTAAAAAACAAGCCATCCATTTCCTGTCTGCAGGAAATAGACCTACCTCCAAAAGACGAATTAAAACTACAAGTTAAGGGTTTGAAGACAATTTTTCAGGCAAATGGAATTCAGAAGAAAAGAGGAATTGCGATCCTATTTTCAGATACATGTGGACTTAAAGCAACTAAAGTCAAAAAAGACAAAGATGGTCACTTTATATTGGTCAAGGGAAAAATACAACAGGAAGATGTTTCAATTCTAAATATTTATGCACCCAACTTAAATGCTCCTGATTAGGCTGGCCCCTGTGGCTCAAAAGAGTAGGGCACCAGCCCCATATGCTGGAGGTGGCAGGCTTAAGCCCAGCCCCAGCCAAAAACTGCAAAAAAAAAAAAAAAAAAATGCTCCCAGATTCTTGAAATAGGCTTTACTCAGACTGAGCAACATGATATCCTATAACACCATAATAATAGGGGACTTTAATACTCCTCTTACAGAGCTGGACAGATCCTCTAAACAGAAATTAAACAAAAATAAAGAATATACATTCTCATTGCCCCATGGAACATTCTCCAAAATTGATCATATCCTAGGACACAAAACAAACCTCAACAGAATCAAAAGAACTGAAATTTTACCTTGTATCTTTTCAGACCACAAGGCACTAAAGGTGGAACTCAACTCCAACAGAAACATTCAACTCTGCACAAAGACATGGATATTAAACAGCCTTCTGTTGAATGACAGTTGGGGGCAGGAAGAAAAAAGAGGGAATCATTAACTTCCTTGAGCATAACAACAATGAAGACACAAGCTACCAAAACCTGTGGGATACTGCAAAAGCAGTTCTGAGAGGAAAATTTATCGCTTCAGATGCCTACATTCGAAAAACAGAAATAGAGCACATCAACAAACTCACAAGCCATCTTATAGAATTGGAAAAAGAACAACAATCTAAGCCTAAATGCCGCAGAAGAGAAGAAACATCCAAAATTAAATCAGCAATCAATGAAATTGAAAACAAAAGAATAATTCAGAAAATTAATGAAACAAGGAGTTGGTTTTTTGAAAAAATAAATAGATAAACCTTTGGCCAGACTAACTAGAAATAGAAAAGTAAATCTCTAGTAACCTCAATCAGAAATTATCAATAAAGGGGAAATACCAACTGATGCCACAGAAATACAAGAGATCATCTTTGAATACTACCAGAAACTCTATGCCCAGAAATTTGACAATGTGAAGGAAATGGATCAATATTTGGAAGCACACCCTCTCCCTAGACTTAGCCAGGAAGAAACAGAGCTCCTGAACAGAATAGTTTCAAGCACTGAGATCAAAGAAACAATAAAAAATCTTCCAACCAAAAAAAATGCCCTGGTCCGAATGGCTTCACACCAGAATTCTATCAAACCTTCATGGAAGAGCTTATTCCTATACTGCAGAAATTATTCCAAAAAATTGAGGAGGAAGGAATCTTCCCCAACATGTTCTATGAAGCAAGCATCACTGTGATACCAAAACCAGGAAAAGACCCAAATAAAAAGAATTTCAGACCAATTTCACTAATGAATATACATGCAAAAATTCTGAACAGGGCGGCACCTGTGGCTCAGTGAGTAGGGCACCAGCCCCATATACTAAGGGTGGTAGGTTCAAACCCAGCCCCAGCCAAACTGCAACCAAAAATGGCCAGGCGCCTATAGTCCCAGCTACTCAGGAGGCTGAGGCAAGAGAATCACCTAAGCCCAAGAGCTGGAGGTTGCTGTGAGCTGTGATGTCACAGCA